ATGGGGGGGGCTGCAGCAGCTGGTAGTGGATGGGCCCAGGTAGAACAGCAATCGGGGGGGCTGGGGTGGGGCATGTGGGCCTTGTAGGGGGGGTGGTAGCACCTGCAGGGGCCATTGGGCCCCTTGTGTGGGGGCTGAACCCTATGTTGGGGGGCTGTAACCTCTGTGTGGGGGCCATCGCTCCTTTGGGAGGGCAGCAAAATATATATTCATGAAATATGTATTTAGAGTTCACTATATTGTTATGGTAAAAGACATGCTTTAACACTATAGCTATATCAATAAAACATTGTCCAACTGATTTCTCTTTCTCTTTTTCTCTCTCTTTATAGTGTCTTTTGTTTTACTTGTGAAGGAACATAGATTTGTGGGATATTTTACAGAGGGACTTTGGGATTTTTTTTTTTGTCAGGGATTTTTCAGTTTTCCAGTAGGGAACACCAGAATTCCTGCTAGGACCCTGCCTGCTCAGAGCTGGCACTTTCAACTCAGCTGCCTGTGGCTTTCCTCCTGGCTAGTTGGGGCCAGGAGGACATGCTTTGACAGTTCAAAGCAGGCCACCACACCCAGAACATCTTTCAGGCAATAGCTGTCTAGATGGCTGGGCAGGGGACACACATGGCAGTAGTGCTGCACAGAGGCCAACCTTGCAGCCACAGCTTGCTGGCAGCTCGCCCAGAGGGGCAGATGCCTCTACTGGCTGTGCAGTCCCCATCCGGATCTGGCAAGTGCATAGCAGGTCACAGCCAGGCAGCAGCCCTCACTGCCAGACTGCTGTAGTGGGTAAAGCGTGCAGGGAACTCTCAGGGCTGCTTCAGCAGTCCAGCTGGCACAAAGGGTATTGTCCCCTGGTACCAACTGGCTGGGTCCCAGAAACACCTGAGAGTTAGTAGCCCTGAGCTACTTGCCAGGGTTTTTTATACTGCTGGGGACAGTACAGGTGCTGGCCCCGGGCTCTAGCTCCCCCGGCTGCAGATCTGAGAGGAGCTAGGCAGGGTTATTTTGCCCCAAGTGGCGCAACTTGCTCCACAACAAAGTGCATGTCCAAGCACATGCGCTGAGGCAAAAAGCCCCAACTCAAATTTGCACTGCTTCTATTTGAGCTTCTGCAACTGCATGTGCTTGCTTGTGTGGACATGCCCTTTGAGACTAGATTCAGCCTTGGTATAACTCCATTCCAGATAAACCAGGATTGACTGTGACTTCCTCCTATAAAATAAATTGAAATGACAGAAATGTGGGGGTGAGTGATGGGGTAAATAGTTGGGCCTGGTACTTTTGAACTGAACCTTTATGGTCACAAGGTAGAAGCTAAGATATTGTAAGAGACTGTGGCACAACTAATGTGAAACTGAACTGATCTCTCTAAAAACTTGTTCAGCTAAGACAGGGAAATGCAGTATCAGTGCTTTATGTGCAGCTTTATGTCCTCTTAGAAGTCTTCCCATGTTGATGGGTTATTGTGATTTGAACTCAAAACAACTTTCTCCATTTATTTGCTTTCCAGCTTATCAAAACATCAGATTTGGATCCAAGCCATAACTATCTGTTTGGATTTCACCCCCATGGTGTCCTTGTTGCTGGAGCCTTTGGAAACTTTTGTACAGAATATTCAGGTTTTAAGGAGTTATTCCCTGGCCTTACTCCATATCTTCACATCTTGCCCTTCTGGTTCAGCTGTCCCTTCTTCAGAGAATACATAATGTCTGCTGGTAGGTAAACAATATATGGCTTCACATACAACTCATTTTAAGCCGAAGCTGTATCCAGTGAGTATAATGCATAGTGATGTAAGGTACAGGCTCTCATCCTGTAACTCATGAAGCTGAATTCTGGTTTCAAGCTGCAATAGGATCGGAGCTGGCCTGAAAACAAATCTCTTACAGTGAACTCTGGCTCTGAAGCCACTTGGAAGGATGTGTTAACCCCTCCTAGCAAACTCCAATGTAAGGAATCTCGGAATTATCATGGTACATTCCTGCATTATTCCAGTACTTCAAGGTATAAGAATCCTAAGTCTGCTCTTGCATTACAAAATGCCAGGACAGTCTGACCACAGACTTGGAAGCCAAGCTTCTTCAGCAGCTGGTTTTACAGGGTCCTTAGAGTAGCTGAGTAGACAAAACAGCAGGAAATACCATCCCTGTCCAAGAGTTTCCCTTTCTGCAGGAGCTTCAGTCTGTGAAACACTTTTGAGAATGTGGTTTTGGTCCCCCCCCCCCCCCCAAA